AGCCTAAGCAAATATTGCACCACACTAAAAGAAAAAAAAACAAAAAACTATGTACTAAGTCATAGTCGTCGGAAGCATTTTGCAAGTGGTCCGGCCATTATAATGAGAGCGGGGGTTGGGAGTTGGGGTGGCGCTTTGCAAATCTGGTAGTAACTGAAGAGTGGAGACCCGTTACACCTATCCACAGACACAAGATGTTAAAGTTAGTGAGTTCGGAGAGCATCCACTTCTGCCCCACCTTGGTTGGTGAATAACTTTTTTGGCACCTCTGATTGCCCGTAAATAGATGTTGGCGAATTCATATATAATGCAATGGATAACAATTACTATAACATCCTGTAATTATATTTACACGATGTGCAGGTTACTCACCTGTGAAATATTAATAATATACAATTAAATAAAACACAGGATACAATATGCTATGGAATTGGGCCTCCTATGCCTACACGTGAATAATACCGTAGAGTTTCGAATAACATACTGCTGGTAGGCCTACATTTTAATTACAAATTCTTGCAAAATTCAGCAAGAAACATTAATAACAAAAAATGTTTATCACGGCTTAGATGAGCTGTTGCAATTAATAAGGGCCGACTTGACCAATATTTTTTGTGTTGTGATGAAAATTTGGTTTAGTGAGGTCTTAGAGCATCCACTTCAGCCCCACCTTGGTTAGTGAACAACTTTTTTGGCACCTCTGATTGCCAGTAAACAGATACTGGCAATCTAGAGCCGCTATACCCTCCCTCAAGGGGGCAGCCAAATAGAGTATATGTTGGGAAAATGGCATTTCTGGATGCCCAGAAAAACCAGCTGGCAATCCTGTAGAAAATGATAAATTGTTAAATATTTAATTTCTTATCATCGCCATAACTAGATGAATTGATTTGCTTAAAACCTCCATGAATAAATAAAGTGCAAGAAAAATGAATACATATATAATGCAATGGATACAAATTACTATAACATACTGTAATTATATTAACACGATGTGCAGTTTACTCAGCTGTGAAATATTAATGATATACAATTAAATAAAACACAGGATACAATATGTTATGGAAATGGGCCTCCTATGCCTACACATTAATAGTACCGTAGAGTTTCGAATAACTTACCGGTACTGCATTTTAATTAAAAATTCTTGCAAAATTCAGCCAGAAACATTAATAAAAAATATTTATCACGCTCTAGATGAGCTGTTGCAAGTAATCAGGGTCGGATATTCTTTGTGTTGTGATGAAAATTTGGGTAAATTTAACACACAACACTTCAGTGTTAACAATAGTTAATTGTAATTTTATACCTCTAAACATTTTCAAAATCAATCTTTTTTACTACAAATTAAGGACTGTCAAAAAGTTTAATTGTGCATTGGCAAAGCCAATTAGTGAAGGAGTTCAAATCAAAGTTATAAATAGTGGCGTATCTATGGGGTGCTTCCCCACCCCACCCCCCAAAAAATGACTTGCAAGTAGTTAAAAATTACCTAAAATACCTTATTTTGCCAGTTAGCGCCCCTCAACTGATCATCGAACCCCCCTCCCCCCTCCTCCTTCCACTTCACCTTCGCGCCACATATCAGCACCCCATTTCAAGATTTCTAGATACGCCACTGGTTATACAATAGTAGCGAATTCAACAAAGAAGGCATTGCATACGAAGATTCCATTTAGTCGTTCGTTCGTTCCTAGACCCCATGGTCTAGTAGCGTACATTTATTTGCAATAACAAAGTAACTTTTAGAGAAAGGAAGAAAGTAAATCACGTCTTCTTATAATAGCTAAATAAAAAATATTTTGATAAATTATATAAAACATTACAATGATTTGATGACATTTATCGATGGAACTTAAACATTGTTGGATTTATATAAAAGAAAGATGGAATTACGTGTTTCCTAATGTCATAACGTAAACATATTGAAGTAAAATGAAATTCATCTTCTTCCATTGACTTGAGCATAATTTACATATTATATTGTTTTTGCTCACCTTGTTCCATCTGCTTCTCTCTATTTTGAAATCTAGAATACCAATTCAAATTTTTGTTGTTTTGAATATGTTTTGATTTTTTTCATTGAAATGGTGTCTTTCTATATCAATAAGTCCCAATTTTAGTTCAGGAATAAAAGAAGCAGAATCATCACCCGTTGTGAAAACCAGACATAACCAAAGCCAGTTGAACATAGATATAATATACCTATCTGTATATTAAACATAGATATAATATACCTATCTGTATAGTAAACATAGATATAATATACCTATCTGTATAGTAAACATAGATATAATATACCTATCTGTATAGTAAACATAGATATAATATAACTATCTGTATAGTAAACATAGATATAATATACCTCTCTGTATAGTAAACATAGATATAATATACCTATCTGTATAGTAAACATAGATATAATATACCTATCTGTATAGTAAACATATATATAATATACCTATCTGTATGGTAAACACATATATAAATAAGTTAATGATCTAAAAAATAATAGACAAATTTAGAATATATACACAGTATTACTAGAAATATATTAATCTACATTACCACGTTGTCAAAAATATATAAATTGTGATTATTTTTAATTAAAATTGATAGATTATTTAAAATTTTAAAAAAATTGTTGGATAACCTTGATGATTTATAAAAATGATTTAGGTGGATGGTTATTTTAGAAATTATCAACAATAAATTTTTTAATGAAATTTGAAAATTATAAAGCCTGAGCATTCCGTTTTATAACTGAAGAGAATTTGTATCAACGGCAATGACTAAAGTAGTAGCAGTGAAGTAACCAGGGGATTTTACAGTGCCTAAGCTCCCCACCCCCTCACCTTTTTGTTAATAGTAATATAATGGAAATAAATGACAAGTAAGTTACTATAGACGTTCACAGTTATGGTGTAGACATAGCCATCAATATAATACTTATTAATCATACTATTTGATATGAAACTTCTAATATTTAATATTTTTCTAATATTTCGATAGCCTTTAAGTACAATACAAGCTACAAGCTATTTTGCCACGAATCTACAATATAATAATAGTTTGTGTTATTGGTACTTTCCTTGTATAATGTAGTTCATGGTCGTAGTCCTGATACAGCAATGCTCTCAATTATAAAAACCAATAAGTTAGATATATCTAATCCACAGTACACAGACGTGTCTATAAAATAAGAGTTATGTTTCTTAGTACCCCTTTACACTGTCAAACTAAAAACAGTACGTGCAGCACTTTATGTAGAATTTTTTTTAATCTAAAGTTGAATTGTTCATCAAAGCTCTATGTTCAAAGCATGATAATTTAAATAAAATCGGTCATGCGGTAGTAACTCTTATGGGACATCCAAAGTTGGCTGGTGGTTTATTGATGACTTTTCCAAAGCAGGATAATTTACATATTGCCTTGTTACTGTTTATGTAACTTGTTTTAAATAATTTATTTTATGAACGCACCGTCACTATGCTACGTGTGACTTGTGCCGCCGATGGAAAGGCGTAGTTTTTTTTTCAAACAAAATATTATTATTATTATTATTATTATTATTATTATTATTATTATTATTATTATTATTATTATTATTATTATTATTATTATTCATTAAGTTTTTATGTACGGTATGGCAATATGTAAATTAATGTTACTAGTATAATTTATTGGTTGTTTAACGTTAAATCTCGACTTGCCATCATTACAATCATCTTCACCACCACCATTAAATATTTGATTTAATACACCATGCTATAAACTCAAAAGTAAGCTTAGTATACCGATATAATTTTAACTTTACTTTGTTTTAATGACTGAATATTCATAAACGAATTTGTCTATCTTTAATTAAGATTGCTTACATACCAGATTTATATGACTGAAAAATTGTTTATACTTAGCTGGTGCAATTATTTAGTTTATGAGCGAAGTCATAGTTTAGAAATATATTTCAATTTTGTATAGGCAATGCAATTATATTTGTAATTAAAGGTATGACTCTCGCGAATGTTTTCCGAAATTCTTTGTTAGTAACGGCGTACAGAATTGGATTGATTGCCGAGTTAATCCACAGTAGATAATTAACAAATATCCAGCCAAAATTGCTGAATTTTGAACTAGGTCTTTCAATAATTATATATATATTATATGGCAGCCAACAGATTAAAAAGACCGTGACAAGTGCAGCTAGCGTAATGGCCGCTTTCCGTGTCTGTGATCCTCGTCTCGCGCCTTGAAAACGCCGCAATGACGACTGTTTTACCGGCATATTATCTGACTTTTCATTCTTCCGATCCAAATTGTGATTCTCATGGTTTTCTTTCGACTTCTCTCTTTCAATCCTGTAGTTTTTTCCGCCTTGAAGATTCTTTCCCGTCGACCAATTAATTACCCCAATATACACATTAACGTTCAAATATATAAGTAAAGCGAAAGGAAGGCCGAATACTATGGTGACCGATAAGTAAATAAATGTCAAGTTATCTTTTCTTCCCGCCCCACATCCCACATTGTAGTCAACATTACTTTTACCTGTTAGAAGCTCCCAGAGAAAAATACCCAACACATAAAAAATACCGAAGAACAAAACAAGACAAAGCGATAAAGTAAACGCTTTCCGATGCGTCATAAACGCGTTATACCTAAGATGTCTTTTAACCATCCAATAGCGATCAAGACTTAGCAGGACGATACAACCAGCCGAAACTCCGCATGCAGTATAGTCGATAAACAAGTATAATTTGCACACTATTTCACCAAAAGCCCAGTAACCATACTTTAATTGTATGTTGCCCAATGGGAGCGATACAACACCAACCGTCAGATCCGCCAATGAGAGCGTCAAAATAAACACGTTTGCAGGTTTGGAACGGATTTTCCGATTGATGGCGAAAGAAAGCAACACCAGACAGTTCAAAAAAATGGTTGCTGAAGTTAAAATCCAAACTATGATTAACACAAAGAGAAATAACCACTTATTTTCAGGATCACCGTAGCAGTCCAAGATTTCTGATGACGTCATAAAACCGTCACTGTCGTTAGATGTGCACAAATCAGTGTCTGCATTCATTGTGTAGTTGTCATCCATTGAATCCACTTTAGAAATTCCCATATTCCTTAAGAAAATGAAAATCCCCTTAATAGTTATACTTCTATAGAGCTTATCATTATTACTGTACCATTTTTTAAATTTTTATTTTTTAGTCATATATTTGATGTCCATTGGTAGGGCCAAATTTGTGGACGGAAACTCGTGATCAAAGTGAGCGAGCATGGCAAGCCGACGGAATGTTTCGCCGAATGACATTTCACTGCCAGACAATTGACTGACTGGACTTTCGCCAATTGGCTGTTGGCGAATTTGTTGTCGGCATGTCTGTCGGTGAATTGGCATCCGGCAAAATGACCTATCACCCAGTAAGCAATGAACTCCTGGTTTAAGGTACATAACAAATCAAATTGATTATTTTTCTGAAAATGGTTTAATACTAAGTTAACTTGTGAAATAAAAAATTCGCCACTTAGCATTACTTCAAATTATTAATTTTATTGAAAAATAATGCATGTTAAGTGTAATGTTTTGTTTGTTCTACAAAAACATCGTGTTCATTTATAAGCCTTCAAATGACGATTTGGCAAATTATGTTTTACCACAAGGTAACTAATTATATCTTCAGTACAGATATACAATGCTGTGTAGGAGAGACCCATACAGATATTCATGATCAATGTCAGGTCTAGGCCTATTGCTCTAAGCTTAAGTAGGGGCCTAATAAACTGAACAAATATCTTATGGGCTATTTATACCCTAATTACATTATCACAACTTTAAAACATAGCCAGGTATTGATGTTGGAGATATATTACCTCCACTGAGTCCACACCCATTGTTGGGGCTGAGGTGAAAAATGTTTATTATTAGCATCTATATGTCCGAAAATATGTTCTCAGACTAAAAAAAATACCAATTATTTTGAAAATCCAAACCAATCTGTGTTTGTGGGAGCTCAGCTGCTACGCTACTGGATGAAACTGAAGTGCAACTTACCTGCAGTGTATACCTGATGACAATGAAATGTTGAAATATAGAACTTTATGCCGCGCTCCTGTTGAATCTGACTCGAATGTGTTGCTGTTACATCGTCGGTCGATTTTGTTATGTTTAATTAAGTCCAAGCATTATATGAAGAGCTTATTTCCAAAAGGCGCCAACTCCACTTTAGTAGATTTCAAGAAAAAAAAAAAATTAGTAATTGCATCAGTAATTATTGAAAATAGAAAATACCGCACATGTATGTATCAGACAAAGGTTCAACAAAAGTAGGTCAGCAGAGAGTTAACATCCTTTAGAACAAAACAGAAATGGATATAGTACCTTTTGGAAACAAAGCAATACTACAGCAAAGTGGGACATAACTTTTTTTAGAACAAAATGATATGTACTATGAAACCTCTACTTGAACTCTATTATATTGTACCAAAATCTGGATTTCACCAAAATATGGACTTAGCGCATTTTGGAATTGAGCTCTTCATATAGACCTACATAATGGTTTTGCGATATCTATGATTTATATATAATGAAATGTAAAAGCAATTATTTATATATAATGAGTTTGAAGTTAATTTGTTATTTATATAATTATAATGAAATGAGTGAATTTATTATATATAACTAATTGTAAGTTACTTTTCATTATATCTCTTATACACATCTGATGTGTATAAGAGACAGACACCAGACAGTTCAAAAAAATGGTTGCTGAAGTTAAAATCCAAACTATGATTAACACAAAGAGAAATAACCACTTATTTTCAGGATCACCGTAGCAGTCCAAGATTTCTGATGACGTCATAAAACCGTCACTGTCGTTAGATGTGCACAAATCAGTGTCTGCATTCATTGTGTAGTTGTCATCCATTGAATCAATTAAGTTTAAGTCTACTGTATAATGTCTATAATCAATGTTTATTTTATGGCATGGAATAAATGGTACGAAAGTACTACTGAAATTATATATATATATATATATATATATAGGCCTAATGTTAAAATAAATTGTGTTCTAAAAGTCTACATCCTCTCCTGTCATATATAGTATAGTATAGTATATATTATAGTTTGCTGCATAGCACTGAAGATATAAATATAAACAAACACTGGTAAATGATAGAAACAGTGCTCAATTTTAGAAACAAATGATGTTATAAACGTACCAGGCATGGCCAATCAACGACAAAGTGCCTTATATATGCATGGTACAAATCTTCAAATATTAGAGGGCTCAACCAGTTGATAGCAAATTATACATTGTAGAATTATGTATTTATCAGGCCTACACTACATACATTACAGGTCAGGGTTGCAGATGTTAGGTTGAGAGAGTGAATATAGATTTTCCTATATTATTATTCGTATGTAGCAACGGAAGCAGAAGGCACCAGCATTCCAATAACTAATTACTTAATGGCTTATTTTAAAATGGCTGTATTTTATATACTTTAGGCTTTTGTGATGCCGACGTCGTTATTTGTGTGGGTATTTTTGCGCCATCTTGAATTCCAAACGTTCAAGATAAAAAAAGCATTATCACTTTAAATATAATAATTTGGATACGAATCAGGTCCATTTGATATATTCTGTGTTTTAGTTAGTCTATTCAGAAGAACGCGAAAGTTTTATCACACATTTATGTAAGGTATCTAGAGTTGATGCATAACGTGTCCATTACACGCTAGTTACACACACAGTATGATTGCTACGTGAAATGATCGCGGCACAAGAAATTGTATACTCCATCCTAAAATAATTCATATATGTAAGACACGAGTCATCAAAAACAATTAGTCTGCAACAAGTGCCATTGATTTTGAAACTTTGGTTTCGCTTTCACAACACTGATGGATATCAATTTAAATTGATTGATTGATAAAATTTTTATCAACCTAATAGCCAACCAATTAGTCACAGAGATAAATGCCCATCTATACTTAATTATGATTAGGCCTTATCATAATATTTATAATAATTTATGAATAATAATATACATATATATATATATATATATATATATATCTGTATATATCTGTATATATATAGATATATACATATATATGTATATGTATATATATAAGTTATATGTATATTATATGTTTATATATATATGTATATAATATAAATCAAGATAGCCGTTAACACTGTTAAATTATATTATATATATATATGTATATTATTATATTATATATGTGTATTATAGTGATATCATAATCATCATCATTTATTTTTTTAACTGAATTAAGATCACTATAATTATATTTTAATGCATTATCGTATATGAAGGGTCAATTTTCAGTCGGGTCTGCCACCACAATGATAATACATGAATGATACATTATTGTTTTTATACACTTTTTAGAATGGATTACTGGATGCTGTTACTCTTCATAAACCGTTTCTTGGTATATACACATCAAGTCCTGCGCTCGTTCTACCCAAATATCCATTACACATAAATACCTCAACTAACGCTCAGTATTCAATATGGAACCTTGTTATTGATTGATCACGATCTCACTGAACTTATCGTGAATTGTACAACACGGAACATTGGACAGAAATGACTGCAGAATTGTTGAAACACGCCCTAAGTAACACTTAACATTTTTTTTATTTGCTTCTTATTGTTAAATATTATTGTTGAAATATTAAGGCACCATAATATTTAACAATAATATTTGCTTCTTATTGTTAAATATTATGGTGCCTTGTATTTATCATATGAAATTGTTTGCATGAGATTCCGTTGATTCTCGTGGTACCATGAATGGAATTGTTCCCCTGAACGAGTAGTGAATAAATAACATCTCGGTCAGGGAAAAAAAACCAACTCCACTCGCTAAGACTAATAATTTGTTTCGGTAGAGCATCGTGTGTATATTTGTCTTGGGAAAGGGATTGCCAGATGAGTAGGACAGTGCCATTGGCAGTGTAGCAATTTTATGGAAGCCAACTGGAAACCAAGCTTCAGTACCGTAAACGAAAGATAATTAATTACAAGATACAAACAAGTGCACTATATTGTATTCTCAAAATACATACAAGTGTTACATACGTTCTATTTGAAATTCACGTTCCGGTTCCAATTGTATCATTACCATGTTCAGTTAGACTGTGAGATAACGTAAGATACATTCTTTAGGCATATCCGTATGGCTATCTGTCTTGAAGCATGGAATCCAAAAATAAGATGGTGCGCTATTAAATCAACATACGGTATTATGTTTCCCAAACTCAGGCCCATGAATTTAACAATCAATTAACAAACTAAGCTTGACTGATGTTTCTCGTATAATTTTTTATGCTACAAATCTACGTAGCGCCAACAAACACAATGGCCTACTCCGTTTAGCCTTCTCCGAGGGTAGTAGGCCAAAGTTTTCTCTTTAATTGATTAGGAGAGTTTTTACCATGTTACAATACAGGCCTTAATGATGCATTTATTTTAATTATTGATTGTCTTCTGTAAAATAAATTAGTTTTATGTAGTTTCATATTCCATGTTCCACGGGCGTACTGAATACATTCGGAGTATGGGTTTGCCTACAATCAGAGTAGACCTATTTCCGACGGTCTACAACTAAAATGTTTCTTTTCAGTAATCAGAGTGCTGCTGTCTACAATAAATGTATTGCTGACTACAATCTGAGTGTTGCTAAAATCCGAGTGTCGCTGACTACAAGCAAAGTTTTCCTGACTAGAATCAGGGTGTTGCTGACTAGAATCAGAGTATAGCTGACTAAAATAAAAGTGTTGCTCACTACAATCAGAATATTGCGGTCTACAACTAATGTGTTTCTGTCTATAATCAGTGTTGCTGTCTAACCAGCGTGTTGCTGTCTACAATAAAGGTATTGCTGTCTACAATCTGAGTGTAATTGCTACAATCAGAGTGTTACTGACTAAAATCAGAGTGTTTCTGACTACAATAAAAGTGTTGCTGACTACGATTAGAGTGTTATTTTCTACAATCAGAGTTCTGACTACAATAAAAGCGTTGCTGACTACAATAAAAGTGTTGCTGACTACAATTAGAGTGTTGCTGACTACAATTAGAGTGTTGTTTTCTACAATCAGAGTGTTGCTGACTACATGGTATTGCTGACTACAATCAGGGTGATTGTGACTACAATCAGGGCCTGTTCTGTCCACAATCGAGTGTTGCTGTCTGCAGTAAGAGTGCTGTGTTTAAAATCAGAGTGCTTTATACAATTGGAATGTTGTGACTAATCCGAGGTGTTGGTGACTGCTATCAGATACAAGGATGGAGACCCCAGAGGTGACAGACATCCCTGGTGAAAGTGCTGATTTTTCATCGT